CACTAAGGGGAAATCCTGCCTGACCAATTTGGTGGCCTTCTATGATGAGGCTACGGAACTGATGGACAGGGGTAGAGCAGTTGATGTCATCTACCTGGACTTGTGAAAGCGTTCGACACTGTCCCACACGACATCCTTGTCTCTAAATTGGAGAGACATCAATTTGATGGATGGACCACTCAGTGGATAAAGAACTGGCTAGATTGCCGCACACAAACAGTTGTGTACTGTCCTTCCAACAGATGTCAGGGTGGTTGAAGTCACCCATGAGAACAAGGGCCTGTGAGCGTGAGGCTTTTCCTACCTGTCTATGGAGTGCTTCATCCGCAGGTTCTCCTTGATCCGGCGGTCTATAACAGATCCCCCCACAGTAATGTGTCCCATAGCTATATTCCCTTTAACCCTGACCCACAAACTCTCTGTGGACTGCTCACATGAGCTGGCGTCAGTGTGCGCTTGCAGCCCAGAAAGCCAACCGTATCCTGGGCTGTATCAAAAGGAACGTGACCAGCAGGTTGAAGGAGGTGATCCTGCCCCTCTACTCTGCTCTCGTGAGACCTCACTTTTAGTATTGTGTGCAGTTCTCGTGTCCTCAATGTAAAAAGGACATGGAACTGTTGGAACAAGTCTGGAGTAGGGCCACGAGGATGATCAGGGGACTGGAGCACCTCCCATATGAAGACAGGCTGAGGGAGTTGGGGCTGTTCAGCCTGGAGAAGAGAAGGCTGTGTGGAGACCTCATAGCAGCTTTCCAGTATCTGAAGGGGGCCTATAGGGATGCTGGAGAGGGACTCTTCATTAGAGACTGTAGTGACAGGACAAGGGGTAACAGGTTCAAACTTAAACAGGGGAAGTTTAGGTTGGATATAAGAAAGAAATTCTTTCCTGTGAAGGTGGTGAGGCACTGGAATAGGTTGCCCAGAGAGGTTGTGAATGATCCATCCCTGGCAGTGTTCAAGGCCAGGCTGGACGAGGCCTTGGGTGATATGATTTAGCATAAGGTGTCCCTGCCCACGGCAGGGGGGTTGGAACTAGATGATCTTAAGGTCCTTTCCAACCCTAACGATTCTATGATTCTATGAAATGGATTAAAGCAAAATGTCATCTTCACTAAGTAGTGCACCTTATCCAACTAACTTGAGGGAATTGTTTTTCATGTTACAATAGTTATAGTAGCTTTACATTTGTGTAGGGCCATTAGGTACCTTAGGACACAAACAGAAAGTGCTGGCTTGTGTAAGTGATCCTTCAAAAATGAAGTTCTTTCAAGTAAGCTTTTTAAAAGCAGGACCACTTTCTTCCACTGGCCTATCTGTAGACAGTGTGAAGAAGTCATGCTTCTTCTGGTTGATTGGCTGATTAATCTTTTCCTCCCAGTTCTGTTTATCTTCTTATCCCCAAAGACTTTTTGAAAGATCAGCTAATCCCTACCATGTATTATGTGTCACTAACTTTGTTCAAAAAGTATGTCACCCAATTTTTGTACTTGAAATTTAGAGAGGTGTTTATTCAAGTGACTTGCTATAAGCTGCTATTCATTCCAGATGGAAGATAACATAAAACTGAGGTCTGTCATTAGATCTTTAGTTTCTCTACCAGTTTGGTTTTTAAATGGTGCATATCAGTCAAGTTTAGAATCTTCTTGCTCAAAACATCCATCTGTTGACAGTGTTTGTAAACCAAATGGAATCACTTCTTGCTAGGGACTGCTTCATGTATTTTGCAGAAATGACCTGTACTGGTTAATACTGGGTCTTTTGGACAGCTCTGTTAACAATTTCTTTAGGCAATGTTTGCCTACCCATCTCACACGTCAGATTTGTTTGTTTTAATCGCCTCATCTGATTTGTTGCTCTGCAGTAACAAAAATTAATAAGAAGCTGAAGAAAAGTTATATACTCCTTCCCCTTCTCTGGGGTTATCATATTGCTACATGACACTAGCACTGCTGCCTTACAGTATCTGAAGGGGGCCTATAAGAATGCTGGGGAGGGACTCTTCATTACAGACTGTAGTGATAGGACAAGGGGTAACAGGTTAAAACTTAAACAGAGGAAGTTTAGATTAGATATAAGGAAGAAGCTCTTTACTGTGAGGGTGGTGAAGCACTGGAATGGGTTGCCTAAGGAAGTTGTAAATGCTCCATCTCTATTGGTGTTCAAGACCAGGTTGGAGAGAGCCTTGGGTGACATGGTTTAGCATGAGGTGGCCCTGCCTGTGGCAGGGGAGTTGGAACTTTATGATCTTAAAGTCCTTTCCAACCCTAACTATTCTATGATTCTATGATGTGTTAAATAAAATTCAAAGCTGTTTTAGATCTTAGGTGTTAAAAAGAATTAGTTCTGTAGATACAGTTTTGTAGATATTTCACTATTCTGTAAATTGGTGCTTCAGAGCTGTTCATGACAAATTTGTCCAGAGGTTAACCAATTTAATTGTATACTTTTGGTTGTTGTCTTCTAGTTGTAAATGAGTAATACTGTAGGAGCTTCAATAGCTTTCTCTGTGAAGGGTTTATGAATTCTAGCATGGTATTAGCAGCAGAATGGCACATGATATTTGCAGAGTAATTGTATCTGAACTTAATCTTTCAATTTGCACTTAAAAATTAAGTGCCCTTACGCCCATTTCCTGTTGCAAGATTAGTCATGTTTGCACTGCACACTTGTTACATATTTGAAATTCTAGGTAACTTGTAGACAACACTCTTTACCCAGACCGAGGCTTTACTATTATGATAATGCCATTTTTATAAATGATACCATGGTAATTGGTTTAAGAAGAAACTTTTCTATAGTGTTGATTTGTATAATGTATATCCACTAGGGTAAACATAAAAATAAGCCATATGTACCAGTATGTTAGGATGATTAACAGTTGTGTCTTCAGATGACATGTTCTTAATGATATACCATCCAAAATCCTCATGAAAACTTTTTCAGTGTTGTCATCTAATGTGATTTGTGATATATAAACCAAAAAATTCTTATTTATCAACAGGATACTTACAGTATATTTGGTGGCTCAGGGAGCTTTTCTGTAGTGTCTTATGGAAATTTAGGTGTATTTTTTCAAGAAGCATTCTGTCAGACTTTCAGTTTATGGTGTCTGTGAATTTGGTTGTTCTTTGTGTCTTTCCATCCCTTTCCTAGAGTATTATCTTTGTGTTCATTCCTCCTACGAAGCTGCATTTAGGAGTCATCCGTTACTTAAATGCTACTTTCCTAAACTTTTCTTGTCTATTAAAAACTAGCTAGACACAATTGCTATACTCTCTTATAATGTATGAAGCATAGCTTTCAGTTTACGTAAAAAAGTTATGCACTCATACAATGTCCCTCTGCAAAATAAATTTAATTTGCAGTGGTTAAATGGTTAGTTCAGTAATTACATCTTAAAGCAGTGTTCACCTTCAGTGAATAATATTGTGATGCCCATTTGATAAAACCAGATAGAGTTATTGTTTATCAAGAATCCATTATCGAACTTGCCATATATCAACTATAGCAGGAAAAAAAAAGCAGAACTCGGCAGTATTCTGAGAGACAGAAGATGGAAAAAAAATCTGGATGTCCAGAAGTTATTCTCAAGGTTTTAGCAGGCAGTTCTTTGTGCTGTCCATCGGTTTTCCCTAGCATAGGTGGCTGAGTTATTTTTTGTTGGTTTTGTGAAGAAATTGCTAAGTAGTACATCATTTAGGACAAGCAAGTAAGGTAAATTTGTGTAAAATTTTCTAGGGTAAATTTGTACTTTGTAAAAAAATCTGAGAAATGGAGTCTAGGTTGAGTATTAAGATACTGAGGTCTGCTATTCCTGTGGCGGGTGGGAGAGAGGAATATGATAATTAGGAAATCTAGTTATCTTCAAAAGGAATAACCAGTGTTTTTAAAATACTTCTGCTTTCTGTGTGTTCTCTTGCTTTGGTCCTTTTTTCTAGTTTGCATAGTAGACTCTCAAAGTATATGTGGAGGACAAAGAATGGAAAATGGAAATTAAGGCTGATAGACCATTAAATAAGCAAATAAATACCTTTTTCTTTTTCCTTTTTTCACTCCCTTCACCAAAGCTTTGGATGATATTTTGTTGGAGCAAGTGCAGAGAAGGGCTGCAGGGATGATAAGGGGGCTCAAGCACCTCGCATATGAAGACAGGCTGAGAAAGTCAGGGCTGTTCAGCCTGGAGAAGAGAAGGCTGCATGGAGACCTCATAGCAGCTTTCCAGTATCTGAAGAGGGCCTGCAAGGATGCTGGGGAGCGACTCTTGATTAGGGACTGTAGTGACAGGACAAGGGGTAACGGGTTCAAACTTAAACAGGAGAAGTTTAGGATAGATATAACAAAGAAGTTCTTTCCTGTGAGGGTGGTGAGGCACTGGAACAGGTTGCCTAAGGAAGCTGTGACTGCTCTGTCTCTGTCAGTGTTCAAGACCAGGTTGGACAGAGCCTTGGGTGACATGGTGTAGTGTGAGTTGTCCCTGCCTATGGCAGGGGGTTTGGAACTCGATGATCTTAAGTTCCTTTCCAACCCTAACTATTCTATGATTCTAATATGTTTTAGCAAACATAAATTACCAGATACAATTTGGGAGGAACTGGCTGAAATTTTTCATATAATGAGAGAATTTGGCAAGATTCGTGACTGACCGGCATATGTCTTCACATGGAAAATTGTTTGAAAATATTGTAAAGTGAGTGTGACTTTTGTGCTCCTACTATAGGTTTGTAGACCACCAGCTGTATATATGAGGTTTACTGGTCTTGGAAGTTGTGCCCGTGGACAGATGTGTTAGAAAAAATTAGATACATTAATCACCTATTTAGGATAAGATAAAAAGTAAGTTGAGTATCAATATGACTGGTTACTTTGTGATACCTGCTAGATTTCCAGATACAAATGGTACTACTTGAATGTTCATAAGAGGTCTTCACAAAACTTAGTTGGTGATTGCTTTAAGTAAATATCAGTGTAGCTTTAATAATTTCAAAATGTCTTATCTTCTAGAGCTATGAAGACGAGAGGAGAACTCGGTCAGAGCTTGAGATAAGATGTCAGCGTTTAACACTGGAACTGGCTGATACAAAGCAAATGATTCAGCAAGGTGATTACAGACAAGAGAACTATGATAAAGTAAAATGGTAGGTATCTGTATCTACCTATATACAAATGTTAATAGAAAAACTTCAACCTTGATTGACTAGAGTTTTTAATTTGATTTTTTGGCTTAAGTACACCACAGATATTTTTCCTTACCTTAAGCCACTGCTGGTTCAGTTATCTCCTGTAGTATGCTACAGTTATAAGATGAACAACCTGTTGAATTCTAATGCACCAGATTATCTCCATGGAAGTTTATATTTGGGGATTTACTGTGTTTTCAGAAGAGCCTACCAGTCACATTGCAACCAAAGAAATGGGAGCTGTCGATGCCAAGCAGCTTAGAACAAGTACTCCTTTTTTCTTAGAGTAAAAGCAATGATCTAACAAAAGGCCCTGTGCTCTACAGTGTGGTGACTACACAGTGAATAAAGAGTGCAGGACCTTGGGAATTAATATTTATAACTTAAGATAGCCTTGTAACCATGAATTTGAAAGAGCTGTTATAAGACCTCTGTTAGAGTCTGTTACTGTAAAGCGACCCTGTCTTAGGGTTACTTTAGTGAATTGGTTTAACTGCAGAAAGTTCCAGTGTCTCTTCATTTTTAAAGTACAGATTTTACAGTTCTAGCCTGTGCTTTGAATGTGCATCTTGTAAACAATAACTGCAAAATAGTGAAAATGGACTTTCTATAAATACAGATTTATACTTCACAATCCAGCCCCCAAATGGCTTATTTAGTGTGCTTGCCAGTACATGAAGTCTGGCTTTTGGCACATTTGTTGGGGAATGGATTCAAAAATTGAGATTATGAATAGAAAACACCCTGTCAGCTCCTTAGTTGTTCACAGTGTATGAACTCAAGCATACTTACTGACATAAATCACTTTGCCACAAAATCATTTGAAGGACAGTCTTTATTCTGGATAACTGTTCACAGTTATGTGTACTAAAACAACCTTGGAATCTACCTGGAAGCTTTTTGCAAATAGGATGGATTGATGCTATGGTTTGCCTCCTGTGTGCAACTGCATCTTAATAAATGGATTGTAATAATGTTTGTGTGAATGGCCCCAGTGTTTAAGAGTGTACATTTAAAATAGTCTTGAGTTGAAAAAAGGTATGAATGAATGTGCCAAGACTGTATTTAAGAGTAGGTTGTATTCATCTGGGTAGGCACAGATGAAGGGAAGGGGAGAGCACTGTTGGCATGACTGCATGAGGATATTTGGGAGCATTGCAGGAGTTAATCACTTCCAGGCTTGTTTCAGTCTTTAAAAGTGCCATGTCAAATCTTCTAGTTCTGGTGTACTACAAGTTATCTCAGTTTTAAAACTATGCTATGCTTAATAAAAAACTGGTTAGCTTTTTTTCCAAACTGCAAGCTCATACTGGGTCATTCATTTCACTGTTCTGACAGGGTCAGATAGAGTGGAGACAGAGCTGCTTCTTTGTGCATATGGAAAGCACTCTTATTCAGGAAACCCAACATAATTTTTACAGCTGTGTCATGTGTATTTTAAACATGAAAAGAGTTGTACAACCTCCTCTGGTATCAAGAGACTGTATACAAGGGAAACTAGCAACTAAGAACAAGTATACATTGCTTTCTGTTTGATCAGGAAGATAGGAAAGAAGTAGCTTTACTTTTCCATCAGACTTCAGTGGCTGAAAAAGACTCAAGAGACTGTTGTAGGAAATAGCATCGAACTAAAAGGGTGGACAAGGATACTTACAGTTTATTGTTAAGAGGAGAAATGTATAGGCCAAAGTTACACTAAAGAATAATAATCAGAGGAGAATGAAATAATTTATGATGGGAATTCATTATTACTGTGTTATAATTTAGGATTTTTTTAAAATACTTAGAAATTATGAAAATTCTTCCATATAATAAGGTATTGTTCCAGGTGTTGATCACTAGCAAAGGTAGGATTATCACTAATTGCCTTGTGAGTGACTGATTGGAAGAAGTCAGAATCATGACAGAAACGCTGAGGGATTATAAATGCACAGGAATCTTGTTTGTTACACTTTATTCATCTAACAGTTTCACTTTATTTTAACAGTGAACGTGATACATTTGAACATGAATTGTCAGAACTCAGAAGAAAATATGAAATATTAGAGGTGTCACACAAAGCACAAGCTAAAGAAAGAAGTGACGTATCAAAAGAGGTAACGTTTTTATTTCAGTAATTGTCTATTTCTTCACCTCAGGAATTTGATTCTTTGTCTGCTTCAGTCTGTCAGGATCACTTGTAGGATCATGGAATAATTTAGATTAGAATGGCTCTAAGGAGACCAGCTGGTCCAACCCTTCTATGCAGTGCAGAACCAGCTTAGGTTAGGTTACTTAGGGGTTAGTCAGGTTTTGAATCTCCAAGAATGGAGATTCCACAGGCTTTCTGGACAATCTGTTACAGTGTTTATCCACCCTCTTTCTGAAAATGTTTTTGTAAAATCTAATCAGTGTTGTTGCAGGTTTTTTTCTGTTGAAAAAAAAACATTTCTCTCAAACCCGTGTACCTCATGTGCTCCAGTCCATGACCATCTTGGCAGAGATGACATCTGGTCTTGCTCCAGTATGTTAATGTATGTTTTTAGGAGGAAATCAGAATGCACATGGCACGTCAAGTACAGTTTCACAAGTACTGAACACAGGATAATAATAAATTTCTTGAGACTATTTTCTTCATTGTCACTAAATATGGCCTAGTAGGCACTTGGCCGTCTTTGCTGTCAGGGCACACTTCTGGCTCATGTTTAGTTTGTTCAACTGATATTTGCGTATCCAGTCCATATTTTGCCCATTTTCCCATAGAGGTGTTATGCAAGATGGCTGAAAGCCATGCAGAAGTCTACATAACTGACATGAACAGCTATGCGCTCATCCATAGAGCCAACTTACTTGTCAGGTTTGCTAGGCACAGTTTGGCCTTGATAAATCCATGCTAGTTGTTTTCAGTCACCTTATCCTCCATATGCATGGATATTGCTTGCAGGAGGATTTGTTTCCTTCTGAAATCCAACTTTTGCAGGGACTGAGGTTAGATTTACAAGTCTACAGTTCCCTGGGTCTTCCTTCTTGAAGATGAATTCTGCGTCATCAGGAGCCCTGCTCACCTGCTATGATCTTTCAAACAGCTGGGCAAGCTCACAACAGCGTTGGCTGTCTCCCTCAACATTGGTCAAATGCTTTTCATTTTTCCTTAGGCATTATGTAGATGCCATTTTTTTAGGTCTCTAGCTTAGCCTTCCTTTGCTTCAGCCTTCTGAACTCTGGCAATAAGTTCAGGAACCTGGGAGGCCCAAGGGCAAAATCTAAGAGTGAATGCTGAATGCTTGTGAGTATGTTCTGCCCCTCAAAAGGTGCAGAACTAATTAGCTTTAGCTCTTTTCCAACCAGTAGTGACAGCAGGGCAGAGCTACTGTATGGCTTATGTTTTGTTGTGTATGATTTTTTTTCTAGACATCAATAGAATACATAGTTTTTCTTATTTGTGACTCTAGTAAAGTAATGGTTCAGTTGCATGAAGTTTCCTTCAATTTGTCTTTACAGAGGTTAGTTCTGTGTAACTGTCGTGGTTTAAACCCAGTCAGGTAATTCGTTCGCTCACTTCCCCCCCTTTCTTGCCCTCCCCCTGCTCTCGGAGGGACGGAGAGGAGAATCGAAAAGAATGCAACTCCCACGGGTTGAGATAAGAACAGTTTAGTAACTAAGGTATAACACAGATCACTACTGCTACCACCAATGATAATAATGATAAAGGAAATAACAGGGGAAGAGAATACATCATCTCACCACCAGCCGACCGATAACTCGCCCCCCCAGCCCGACCAAGCTCCAACCGATACCTCCTCCAACCCTGCAGTCTCCCAGCCCTTCTGGGTAACTCCCAGTTACATCCTGGGCATGACGTGCTGTGGTATGGAATACCTCTTTGGTCAGTTTGGGTCAGGTGTCCTGTCTCTGCTTCCTCCTGGCTCCCCCTCCTCCCTGGCAGAGCATGAGGCTCACAAAGTCCTTGGCCAAACCAAAACATCCTTGTTATCAGCTCTGTTCCTGAGCTGAAAGTCAAAACACTGCACTGCACCAGCTACCAAGAAGGAGAAAAATGACTGCTACTGCTGAACCCAGGACACTGTCCACCCCTTATTCCATACCATTCACGTCATGCTCAGATCCCACATTTTCAATATAACATCACTCTTATCTCGGTGCACTCTTAACTTAGTGCATGGACCAGTCCCTATAAAGCTGCTGCGTCCATCTGGTCCATGTCAGGCTCCATCTCTTGTAAGTCTTCCAGAGCAGGAGAGACTGTGTGCAGTGTTCACACTCATGAATAACCTGGGCAATAGTGTCCATTGCTAAGTTCACCCCTCGATCATGAGTCCATCTCTGTGTTGCATCTCTGCTCTGATGGCCTGAGGTGTCATGGGCCCACCAGGCTTAAAATAATTCACTGTCCCCTTAAGCAGTTTCTGCAGCTTGTTGTTGGGGACTCCATACAGCTGCCTTCCATCTCCGATGCTTCCAAAGCACTGGAGGGGCCCAGTGGACTAGATACTTGCCCATACTGTCCCACACACCCTGCCACTCATCACTGTCCAGCCTTGGAGAAAACCTTTTGGTCCCCCTATATCCTCGTCTAACCCCAGACAAGACCCAAACCTGACTCTGCTTAACTTTTGAGACCAGACAAAATGGTTGTGGGTAGAACACAGTCTGTGTGTGTGCCAACATGCTGATCCCCACCACAATCAGCATGCAGGTCCCAAGGATACCCAAAGGCCATTCAAAACCTTCAGAACTCTCAGTTGATGCTGCTGTACTTGTCACTGGGGCTGGTGCAGCTGCTGTGCTTGCCGGCTCTCCCACCGCCAGCTTCTCTTTTCCTGAGTCCAGCTCTTCCCCCTCTGCCTTGCTGGGAAATGCTGCGTGGTCTCCTGCATCCTCCTGGGGCTCGGCGGGCGGCTTCCGGGGAATGCTCTCGGCCGTCGCGGGGCTGTGCTCGGCCGCGGGGCTCGGCTCCTCCGCGGGGCTCGGCTCCTCCGCGGGGCTCGGCTCTTCCGCGGGGCTGGACTCCTCCTCCGCCTTCTCCCGCTGCTCGGCAGCCGCTTCCTTCCTCTCCTCTACCGCCCCGACCTCCTCCACCGGCAGCCGTCCCCTCGCGGCCTCCGGCCCCGCTCCCGCTGCCGCTTGGTGTCCGGGGCCGCTCTCCCGGGCCGGTTCGGCTGCCGCCGGCTCCCGGGGCCGCTCCCCCTCGGCTCCCCGCAGCCTCACGAAGATGGAGAGTAGGGTGAGGGCCAGGACGGTGAAGAGCAGCCGGACGGCCAGGTACAAGTCCACGGCCACGTCCGTCCCGCCCTGCTGCTGGAGCCCGCCCGTATTACAAGCCATTGCCATAAAGCACAGTGAGGCCCAAGCCCCACACTTGATAAACACTAATACAGCAAATACCGGCTCTACGTAAGTTACAACATTCTAAAGCTGTGAGATCAACAAGAACAACTCTGAGAGCCAATAAATCAGCATTGTGACGAGTGACTATTAATCCAGTCAGATCTGTCGTTATCTCAACCCTTCGTGCCCCACGTTGGGCGCCAAAAAGAACTGTCGTGGTTTAAACCCAGTCAGGTAATTAGTTTGCTCACTTCCCCCCCTTTCTTGCCCTCCCCCTGCTCTCGGAGGGACGGAGAGGAGAATCGAAAAGAATGCAACTCCCACGGGTTGAGATAAGAACAGTTTAGTAACTAAGGTATAACACAGATCACTACTGCTACCACCAATGATAATAATGATAAAGGAAATAACAGGGGAAGAGAATACATCATCTCACCACCAGCCGACCAATAACTCGCCCCCCCAGCCCGACCAAGCTCCAACCGATACCTCCTCCAACCCTGCAGTCTCCCAGCCCTTCTGGGTAACTCCCAGTTACATCCTGGGCATGACGTGCTGTGGTATGGAATACCTCTTTGGTCAGTTTGGGTCAGGTGTCCTGTCTCTGCTTCCTCCTGGCTCCCCCTCCTCCCTGGCAGAGCATGAGGCTCACAAAGTCCTTGGCCAAACCAAAATATCCTTGTTATCAGCTCTGTTCCTGAGCTGAAAGTCAAAACACTGCACTGCACCAGCTACCAAGAAGGAGAAAAATGACTGCTACTGCTGAACCCAGGACAGTAACAAATAGAGAGATAGCCATCCTGGCCATCTTTCTGTGATACTGTATTTAGACAAGAAGAATTCCAGTGCTGCTTCCCTTTTGGGCAGGACTTCCACTAGGGTGAGGGATCTCAGTGACTGCCATTCTTGTAGCACTAGTCTTGCACAGCGGAATGTGTTTCTGCTGTTCCAAGGGTGCGAGGTGTGTCTGGTCAAGAGAAATGTCCCTAGCTGCTTCTCTGTTCAGTAATTCATTCATCCAAGTGTCACGAAATGTCTTCAGTGATGGCTCCCTTACTAGGCATGTATGATAACTTTTGGGTCAAGGGACTCAAAGAGTAATATGTATAGAGAATGTTTGGATGATAAAATCATCCAAAACTAACAACTCATTAAGGTATTTTTTCCTTCATCTGATGTTGGCGTTGATTTGCAACAGCTTTTTGAGAGGGAGAAGAGACTTCTACTGAATCTTGAGAAAGAAAATTTTTCAGCTTGGTATTATCATTGATAGTTTGTAGCTCAGTGCAATTTTGACAAAAAATAAGACTATTTTTAAGCTGTGTTTCTGTAGAGATCTTTTCAGAAAACAAAACAATAGCAAAACGATTAGCTGTTTTGAATTAATTTGTGAATTTATGTTGTAAGGTGGTTTGAAAGAGGTACTGCATGAGAAGGTTGTTCTTGACTCTGTTAGTCCATGCAGGCATCAAATGAAGGATCTTTGTGTGTTAACACTTTGGCAGCTAAACAGATGAGACCAATTACACCTGAGAGAATTCAGGGAAGATTGTGTTCCTTAATATCTCAGTATAACATTGTTACAGATAAATTAGTGTCTATAACTACTGCTTTAAGGGTAGAAGTCCTCTGGCTAATTTTACAGCTAGCCACAGAGATTCTCTGAAACACTAGGGAAGAAACAGTTTCTATTAGAAAATACTTTTTATATTCTTGCCTTTGATATTGGTCCAAAGGCTTTGTTAGGCTGCTTATTCATCAGTGCTCTAGCATTGTAAGGGGTCACCAAAATACAGGTTCATTGTCAGCGTATAACAATGGCCAAAAAAGTACTGTCATGTACATCAAGCTTGTATTTATGCATCAGATACTGCAGTAGTATTTGCAGTAACAGCAATGATATTTCTTTTCATTAACTTTATACTAAATTGATCTGAGAGAAAATAAAAGTAGCACTAATTTAAACTAAAATACCCCTTCAAACTGTGTGATTTACTTGAATGTCCTGGAAAGTCTGTGACAGTTTTTGTGTATGCTTATACAGTATTACAAGTTCTGGGTTGGAAGAGCATACAATTGTGTTTACACAGTATTTATTCCAGGGGTGGAGGAATTAGAGGGGTAGTAACTTCTAGATTTCTTTGTTCATGTAGTAATCAAAGACGTCTGTGTTCACTGTGGATGTACGTATAACCTATTATCATTCTTTGAACATGACATGTGAAGTCCTCAGGAGCTTAAATGGCAAAATATATTTTAAGGTGATAAAACTGTGTTTTGCTATCATGACTAAGGAGTTGGGCTGCTCTGCATCAGTGCCATTATGCTTTGTGGCTGTTCTCTGACAATGTTCACCTGAAATAGATTGAGACTACTCGCTCCCACACCACTTTCTTCTTGGAATAGTGAGGGTGACTGATCTGTTGATTGGGAAGGCTGTTAGAGACTCGCAAGATACTCATGTTTCTGATTTGGCATCGGTTCAGCCTTCTATAGCAACACCATGCTAAATGAAAGTCAAAACAAGGCATGTGTAATGCTCTTTGGTGCTGGTCTGGAACACTAGCTTGTCCACAGCAGTCATGATATACTTCAGCCCTAGAAATAGCAGTTTTATCATTTGTTTATGGAGCAGTAATGTCTCTGGTGTCCTTAAAATTTTCACTTCAGTTTCTGAGAATGGTGTAGCCAGTACGATGATAGATTGCCACCAAGACTTGACATCAGGATTTCTGACGTAGTACTATTCAGTACTATCACTATTCAGTACTTCAGTACTACTTAGATACTGAGGTAAATTAAGGGACACTCTACCTCTTTTTCAGGTGCCAACTATCAGAAATAAATAATAAAAACTTGTAAAACTGTAATTTTATTAAAGTCCTTTTTCAGCATAAAGCTTTACCAACTTACATAAGTGTAAATAGAGTCTTCTGGTTCAGCTAATTTCACAGAAGAGAGTTAAAATGAAATCATAAATATGCGTACATAGGTGAAATACTTATCTTGACGTTCATGTTAAAGTGTACTTTTTAATGCTTTTTATAGCTGGCAACCATACAACAATCCCTCAACTTGTTGCAAAAAGATAAAGATTATCTTAACCGCCAGAACATGGAGCTTAGTGTTCGCTGTGCACATGAGGAGGATCGCCTTGAAAGACTTCAAATTCAGCTAGAGGATGCCAAAAAAGCTAGGGAAGAAATGTATGAAAAATATGTTGCATCCAGGTAAGTTACTGTGTGTTCACTTCTATTACTAGCCAAGTTATTTAACTGTTTTCCCTTGTTTCTTGCACAAATTCTGTTTAACTAAATATAATTTAACTTACAGAAAGCTAGTCCATATTTATGAAACTAGAAACAGAACACTTTTGTTGGATCTTAATGTCTATCAGGAAACTATTTTAAACCTTTCGTATAAGACCATAAGAAATAGTACAGATGTCAGCATTGAAAATAGTGAAGATGCCAGCATTGAAAGTTTATGGCAACTATTCTCTTAGGTGTATATAGAAATTTAAGCCCCAAATGACCTTTATTAAAAAAAGTATTTGAAAGACAAGATTATTGCAGAATAAAATACTTTTAATTTTCACAGATGTTTAAAATAGGACATAGCATGTTTTATATCAGCTGATAGAGCTATCAGTCTTTCATATCTCACGTTTGAATACAGTTTGAATAAATATAGCATTGAGAAATACATTGATCATTGTATGTTAGCCATGCTGGTAAATAGTGTCAAATCCTCATGCTATTTGAATTGATATAGATATATGCGTATGGGATGTTGAAAGGAAGCTTTATGCTGTTCAGCTACATATCTTGCTACCTATGTAATGCTATACTACAAAATTTCATATCTTAAGTTAGAAGGGACTCATAAGGGAGTGTTGAGTCCCACTTTCTGCTTCTCTCAGTACTACTTGAAACTAAATCATATGACTAAGAATGTTGTCCAATTTCAAACCACATTTAGGTTTTTCTTGTTAGAAATTCAAGGCTATCCAGTTCATGTTCTTTCCCTACATCTACATGCCAAAAATATTTCAATATATATCCCAAAATAACATCAAATATTTGCCTTGTAGCTAAATTTATGTTTCTGGAAAACCACTGTGAAATCCTTATCCTGTAAGAATGATGTAGAGGTACTTTTACAAAGCTGTCTCCATATGAATAAACTAGAAAGAGACATACCTAGCTTGCCTCTGTCACAGTTTGGAATACTGTGCAAGCCTCCTTCTCTGACCTCTGGAACATCAGAGGTCTCTTGACCTCTGCATTTTGATGCCAGCTAAAGAGAAATTCTGTGACTTGTACTTTGCCTTTAGAGATCTTGATACTGTCATTGGGATCCTGTACTATTTCCAGATCTCTTTCTCAATATCATTGGTATTGGTGACTGTCTTCATGATGCTAATTTTCGTAGGACAGATATTAACTGTAATGAATAATGCAGGTGTGTCTGCTGTCCTCTAGTGACCATTATTGTCTTCTGCAAGTACAATATAGCATAACAGAGAACACAGTGGAGGGCACTGAGCAGCATTTGTAGGACTGCTCTGCAGCTTTGGCAGCCTAAGTTTTATTTGTGATTCTGATGCTGAAAAACCTTGAATAAGTCATTTCATAATGTAAAGATCTGATGTAAAATGTAAAAATGTTAATGTAAGTTTTCTTTTGTAAAATATGGGTAATGGTGTTCTTTTGTCAAGTGCTCTAAATTCTGCATGTGATCTGCAGTATTGCAGTGGCTGTCCCTTCTTTACATTTTCCCCACACACATGTACACAGTTTGTGTGCATCTTCTGAGGCTACATCCCATAGTGGGGATTCCTGTACGTTCAGCAATTTAAACCATCCATCTCTCAGGTGAAATATCTACTGAATTGGGTTTCTTATAGAGAGTTCTACAGAATCCTATTTATTTGTTAGGTAAATTAAAGAGGTAGAAAAGTAGAGCAGGAGAAAACTAACACCTGATGGACATTCTACAGTACTCGGCTGTATATGGAAATGACATCAGTTTGGGTTATAAGCTTCTATTTGCTACTGTTTGAAGAATTTGAGGCTTTTTTAATGCTCACTTCACATCTGGATCTCTTTTCGATGCTGTAGTTCAGGAATAAAGATTATGAAAACAAACCCAAGTACCATTTAGTCAGCTGATCGGAGCTAGCCTAGCTAGAGCCGCAGCCGGCACGCTTCAGCGACCGCGAGGGTCAACGGAGATTAGGAAAATCAGAGGGTACAGCGCAGAGACATCGCGATTCCCAACATCTCCCGATCCCCGAAGCCCCAGCAGCCCTTGCGAGAGAGCGGCTGATGTGGCGGGGGGCGTTCCCACGGTGACGGTGACCACCCCCATACCCCTTGCCTTGAAAGAGCCTCTGAGAGGGCAGCGACATCTGCCCACCAGGCGCAGGGAGGAGCAAGCAGGCCGTGTTGCTGACCCTGTTGCTGGTGTCCGGCTGCGGAACAATATAGTCGCCTCCAGAAAGAGAGCTTGCAGTAAGAAGACTGCAGCAGCTCAGACAGAGACCCCGTCCCAAACTGTGGCTGTTCAGGTCTCTGGATGCAGGGAGTGCCAGAGCCTGCTGCTGCCGGGGGAGGGAGGACAGCATTCCACCTGTGTGAGGTGGGAGCAGGTAGAAGATCTGCTTAGCCTGGTGGCAAAACTTAAGGAGGAGGTTGAGACACTGAGGACCATCAGGGAGTGTGAAAGGGAGATCGACTGGTGGAGTAACTCCCTGGCGTGCCAGTTGGAACGGTTCCAGGGATATACCCCCCAAAAGGGGAAGGACCCCCTGCCTTCTCACACAGAGGGGGGTGGCTCGAGACACCCCCTGCCCTGTAGCTGTTGCGCAGAGGTAGGGGACCAAAAAGATGATGAGGGTTGGAAGCGAGTTCCAGTTCGGCGTCGTGGGAAACCCTCCCACCTTCCTGCCCTGCTTCCCCAGGTGTCCCTCCGTAATAGGCTCGAGGCCCTGGATCTTGAAGGAGAGGTAGGTGAGAATGTGGTGCAAGGCCAGCCTACAAGGCCACATAGGAAAAGGCGGTCGACTTTGCACCTCAAGACTGCCTCTGATAAGAAAGAGAGAAGGGTCATTGTAGTAGGCGATTCCCTTCTGAGAGGAACAGAGGGCCCGATATGCAGAGTTGACCCTCATCATAGGGAAGTGTGTAGTCTGCCTGGAGCCCGGATCAGGGATATCACTAGGGCGCTCCCCAACCTGGTGCACATGACAGACTACTACCCGCTGCTGGTCTTCCAGACAGGTGGGGGGGAAGGTGCTTCCCGCAGTCTGAGGGGGATGAAGAAAGGCTACAGGGCCTTGGGGTGGATGGTGAAAGAGTCTGGGGCTCAAGTGATCTTCTCCTCACTCCTTCCATCTTCCAGTGATGATGTGGGACGCAATGGGAAAATTCAGTCCGTAAACGATTGGCTTTGAGACTGGTGCTGCAGGCGGGGCTTTGGATTCTTTGATAACGGCTGGTTTTATAGGGCACCAGTCTGGACAATGACAAGTGGGAAAGGTTTGTCTCACAGAGGCAAAAGGATGCTGGGGCACGAATTAGCAGGGCTCATTTGGAGAGCTTTAAACTAGATTCGAAGGGGGATGGGGTTGTAGCTGGGCTTGCCCCAGTGGGGCAGCACTCCAGAATTGATGAAGACTGGGAGGCCTCCTATAATCCTAGGGTGAAATCGGTGTGCTCAGCTCGCTCCCTGGAATGTCTGTACACCAATGCGCGCAGCATGGGAAATAAGCAGGAGGAGTTGGAAACCTGTGTTAAGTCAGGAGACTATGGTCTGGTGGCAATTACAGAGACGTGGTGGGACAGCTCACATGACTGGAATATAGTCATGGAGGGCTATGTCCTTTTCAGGAAAGACAGGCCAGCCAGGAGGGGTGGTGGGGTTGCTCTTTATGCGTGGGAGCAACTACAATGCACTGAGTTCTGTCCAGGGCCAGATGACGAGCGAGTTGAGAGTCTGTGGGTGAGAATTAAGGGGCAGGCTGGCAGGGGCGATACTGTTGTGGTGTCTGTTACAAACCACCAGATCAGGGTGAGGAAGTTGACGAGGCCTTCTACAGGCAGCTGAGAGCGGCCTCACAGTCACAGGCCGTGGTCGTCGTGGGGGATTTTAACTTCCCTGATGTTTGCTGGAAGGACCACTCAGCAACCCAGCCGCAGTCCAGGAGGTTCCTCCAGTGTATGGATGATAACTTCCTCCTGCAAATGGTGGATGAGCCAACCAGGAGAGGAGCGCTGCTGGATCTCATCCTCACTAACAAGGAGGGTCTGGTCGAAGCAGTAAGGGTTGAGGGCTGCCTTGATTGCAGCGACCACGAGATGGTGGAATTCAGGATCTTGTGTGGTAGGACCAGTAGAATAGCAAGTAGAATTGCAACCCTGGACTTTAGCAGGGCAAACTTTGGCCTTTTCAAGCAATTGCTAGGGGAAATCCCATGGGCAAGGCTGCTTGAAGGTAAAGGGGCCCAAGATAGTTGGTTGGCATTCAAGGATTGCTTTTTCCGAGCTCAAGATCAGAGCATCCAGACACGTAGGAAGTCAAGGAAGAGGGCCAGGAGACCTGCGTGGCTAAATAGGGAATTGCTGGGTATGCTCAAGTGGAAGAGGAGAGTTTACAGGTCATGGAAGGAGGGGCTGGCCACTTGGGAGGAATATAAGGCTGCTGCTAGAGGATGTAGGAAGGCAGCTAGGATGACTAAAGCCTCCTTAGAATTAAACCTGGCGAGAAGGGTCAAGGACAGCAAAAAGAGCTTTTTCAAATACATGGCAGATAAAACTAACACCAGAGGCAATGTAGGCCCACTGATGAACGGGATGGGTGCCCTGGTGACAGAAGATGCAGAGATGGCAGAGTTACTGAATGCCTTCTTTGTCTCTGTCTACTCTGCTGCAGGCAGTTCTGAAGAGCCCTGTACCCCTGAGACCTTAGATGAAGTCAGGTCAATGGAGTGGTTTGCCTTAGTCGATGAGGAATGGCTTAGAGACCAGCTGAGCAATCTGGATATCCATAAATCCATGGGTCCAGATGGGTTGCACCGGCGGGTGCTGAGGGGACTGGCGGAAGTCATTGCTAGACCACTCTCCATCATCTTTACCAAATCTTGGGAAACAGGAGAGGTGCCTGAGGACTGGAGAAAAGCAAATGTCACTCCAGTCTTCAAAAAGGGCAAGAAGGAGGACCCGGGTAACTATAGACCGGTCAGCCTCACCTCCATCCCTGGGAAAGTGATGGAACACCTTATCCTTGGTGCCATCTTAAGGCATATCAAGGATAAGAGGGTTATGAGGGGCAGTCAACATGGCTTCACCAAGGGGAAATCATGTTTGACCAATCTCTTAGCCTTTTATGAGGAAATAACACGGTGGATGGATGATGGCCGAGCGGTGGATGTGGTCTACCTTGACTTCAGCAAAGCATTTGACACAGTCTCCCACAGCATCCTCACAGCTAAATTGAGGAAGTGTGGTCTGGATGATCAGGTAGTGAGGTGGACTGTGAACTGGCTGAAGGAGAGAAGCCAGAGAGTTGTAGTCTATGGGGCGGAGTCTAGTTGGGGGCCTGTAACTAGTGGAGTGCCTCAAGGGTCAGTACTGGGACCAGTATTATTTAATATATTCATCAACGATTTAGATGAGGGAATTGAGTGTACTATCAGCAAGTTTGCTGACGACACTAAGCTGGGAGGAGTGGCTGACACGCCAGAAGGCTGTGCTGCCATTCAGCGAGACCTGGACAGGCTGGAGAGTTGGGCAGGGAATAACTTGATGAAATATAACAAGGGGAAGTGTAGAGTCCTGCATCTGGGCAGGAACAACCTCAGGTTCCAGTATAGGTTGGGGAACGACCTGTTAGAGAGCAGTGTAGGGGAGAGGGACCTGGGGGTCCTAGTTGACAACAGGATGACCATGAGCCAACACTGTGCCCTTGTGGCCAAGAAGGCCAATGGCATCCTGGGGTGTATTAGAAGGGCGGTGGTTAGTAGGTCGAGAGAGGTCCTCCTTCCCCTCTACTCTGCCCTGGTGAGACCGCATCTGGAATATTGTGTCCAGTTCTGGGCCCCTCAGTTCAAGAAGGACAGGGAGCTGCTGGAGAGAGTCCAGCGCAGGGCAATGAAGATGATTAAGGGAGTGGAGCATCTCCCTTATGAGGAAAGACTGAGGGAGCTGGGTCTCTATAGTTTGGAGAAGAGGAGACTGAGGGGTGACCTTATTAGCGTACATAAATATATAAAGGGGGAGTGTCACGAGGATGGAGCCAGGCTCTACTCAGTGGCAAACAGTGATAGGACAAGGGGTAATGGGTACAAACTGGAACACAAGAGGTTCCACTTAAACTTGAGAAGAAAATTCTTCTCAGTGAGGGTAACAGAACACTGGAATAGGCTGCCCAGGGAGGTTGTGGAGTCTCCTTCCCTGGAGACATTCAGAACTCGCCTGGACACATTCCTGTGTAACATTATCTAGGTGTTCCTGCTCCGGCAGGGGGATTGGACTAGATGATCTTTTGAGGTCCCTTCCAATCTCTAGCATACTGTGATACCTATTTTTAGGTATAAAGAATAATTCACCTTCTGGTCTCTGTTAGAACTGCTGGCATTGGGGTACTGTAGTTAGAAAATTACAGAATTTAGGAATTTAGGACTTGAGGGATTAACCTGCCAAAATTTAAAAGGGACACACTTAGAATAGTTTGAGACTGTAGCAAGATGAATGGCAGCAGCTCACAGCTACTGTTCTTGGGAATCTATGTGTAAGCACAGACCAACAAAGAAGATTTCCCTTTGTATGTTTAATCTTAAAACACAATCCATAGTTGTGTTGAGATGCTCAGATCACATTTAGTTTATTCACAGTATAAAGCCTTATGTATATTAGGCCCCGAAAGAAGCTCATTAAAGCCTGCAGCTTGAAGACGAAGAAACAACTTGATAAGGCAAAACCATTTTTAATTACTGCTCAAGCAAAAGACTGTAACAGCAGATCAGGAACAAAAATTGCAATTGATGGGGCTTTGCTGCAGCAGCAACTCGGTATTTATTAAAAGGCACTGGCAGGGCAGTTAAGCTCTATACTCAGAATATGCCCTTTACTATACTATTTGTTAATTCAGTCATCATAAAGGTAAGTGTCCCTTTGAAATATCTGCTGGTGACATCACTGTGGGTCTTTAAGACTTTTCCAGATTCTTCGAATGTTTTCACTGAACCTTCCTGACTCTTGTCAGCCTTGCCATGGGAGGGAAGGGGGAATTTCTGCAGTGAAGAGAATATTCTTTTTTTTTTTGGCAAGTAGTCATGGCAATAGCAAATTGTGTGAGAAAGTGAAGAAAATGGTAATGCTCATTGGTTCTGCACGTAAGAATTGTATCCAATGGTCCTGATCTTCCACAGTCTTTTTTCTTTTTCTCTACATGTTGAGCCATATAAATAATACACAAAGAAAAGGAACAGTTTCTAATGGGGACCTTACATTCTGGTACAGTGGTTTTGGGGAGTTTGTTTTGTTGATTTATTTTTTTAAATTGTAAACTTCTTAATTGCCTCAGAGATATTAATGAAATATTTTACTGTAGTGTGGCACAGTTGAGGAAAGCGAGGAGATAAATGTAAAGGGTCAACTGAAATTCAGTGTCTCAATACAAAGCAAACTGGACAGGAAGCCCTCTGACAGTTAAATATTTTGGGCTTTTTATTTAACTTGCAGTAGTTTTTGGCCAGCTCAAGTACTGATTTATAAAAAAAACTTACGGGCTATTACACAGTTGGAAATCAGAAGAAATCTAAAGCATTTTATAGTTGTAAATGCACCTTTCGTCATAAAAATGCTTTTATTTCCAAACCTGTAATTTCTACCAGTTGCTTCATTGCTGATTGATTATCCATGAATATTAACTATAAAATTTTAACATTCCTTAGCCGTTGAGTACTTACAATTTAAGCTTGGGTTTCTTGTAATTTTGTAGAAGAAATTCATTAAGGGGTTCCCTACAGTCTGCCATGGGCTTCCAAAGTTACAAAAAGATGTCAGTATTATTCTGAAAGGAAATTCTTTTATCCTGGAATCTTCTGATATCTGCTGTTTATAAATTAATTAAAATACATACTTAAGCTTTTATGTCATATTGAAAGATAAATTTCCAAATCTTGGGGTTTTTTGACTTCACGAATCTCTGCAGTATGTAATCTTCAAAGTTTCTTTTATTTTCCCTAATAAGGTGCAGCTAGTACACAACAAAGTCCTAGAGTAGCATGGCAGTATTGTAAATTAACAAGTTAGTTAATGCTTACCCAGTGATGAAGATGGCAGAAAACGTCAGAAAGCAAGGAATTAATTTGGGGGGTTTAAGTGGTTAGTTAATATAAACACTCGTGTAGAGGCTGACAAAGAATTGCTGGAATAATCTTAAGCATAGTGTTGCGTTATTAGTCAATGTCAAATTACTTATAACAAATTTGAACAGTATGCAGAAAGCTTTTATTTATTCCCAATTAAATATTGTTTATTCCTGATGGATTTCTGCTTGGTTTGCATTAACAACATAGGCTAACATGTATTTCAAGCAGTTTGGGAGGAAAATTAGTAAAAATAAAAATAAAATGTAAAATCAAGAAGTGCTTTGCTCTACTTGTACCACTGTTATCTGAAGCTGTGATATTTTGGTGATTGCAGTTAATTTTCAATTTGCATGTTGGGTATTTGTTTATTTACAGAGACCACTATAAAACAGAATATGAAAAGAGACTGCATGAAGAGTTGGAACAAATAAGGTTGAAAACAAATCAAGAAATTGAGCAACTAAAAAGTGCTTCAAAAGAGATGTATGAACGTGAAAACAGGTAAGTAACACGCAGGCAATAACCTAATTAGGGCAAAAATGACCAAGTACTGTTACGTTCTTAGGTATAATTCTAGTTGACTGGCTCATTGAGAGGTAAACAAAAGGTGAGAATTTAAGTTCAGTTATAAAATTGATGACAATCTTGTAAGAACTAAAATGAAATTACACTTGTATACTTTTAAATATATTATATTTATTATTAAGTTATGGATATTCAACATTGTCAATGAAAAGTACTGTCAGAGGGATGGAGCATCTCTCCTGTGGGGAAATGCTGAGAGAGTTGGGGTTGTTCAGCCTGGAGAAGGGAAGGTTCCAGGAAGATCTTATTGCAGCCTTTCAGTTCTTAAAATGGGCCTATAAGAAAGATGGGGAGAGATTCTTTGTCAGTGTCTGTTGTGACAGGACAAGAGGTGATGGTTTTAAACTAAAAGAGGCAAGATTCAGGCTGCGTGTGAGGAAGAAATTTTTTACAGTGAGGGTGGTGAAATCCTGGCACACGTTGCCCAGAGAGGCGAAGGATGCACCCTCCCTGGAGACATTCAGGGCCAGGCTGGATGTGGTTCTGGGTAACCTGATCTAGTTGAAGATGTCCCTGCTTACTGCAAGGGGGGTGGACTAGATAACTTTCCAACACAAACCATTCTGTGATTCTATGATTATTAAAATTCCTGTTCCAGATAAACATGAGTGATTTGAAGTTTGTTCAGATGTACAATTTTAGTTAATGAACACAAAATATGTTGGATTACCTGTCCCACTGTATGGGCAATCTTGAAACTGAGCCAGGAAACCGGAGAAGAAGGCGCTGATGCAGAAAGTAAAGCAGAAAAAATAAGGGAAACTAATAAGATTTATGTCTTTATAAAACAAATCTATCTGAGATTTACAGCGTTATGGTTCAAGAAAGCATTGATTTCCTAGAAATTATTTTAAAATCTCTTTTGAAGAAGACCCTAGTCCTGCAGAGACCTGCGTATTGAATTTTGTATGTGTGTTATCTTGTTGAATTCCATGGAATTACATGCAGAGTTAGGCACATATATAAGCCTTTAAGGATCTAAGGATTTGGACTTCTAGTACTGCATTTCTTTTTAAGCTTGCTTTTTGCCCCTTTCATTCCTTTAAAATGGAAGGAGCATTTAATAATTCATTATAACTTCATTGCAGATGTCCTCAAAGTGTCTTATGTGGAGAAGGAAATTACTGTAGTAAAAAGATATTTGTGGCATCAGCATCTGTTCCTCTGATAGGTAGTTTTGCTACTGCTCGGAAGAGCGAAAAAAGAACATGACTCCTGCTGTCTGTCTTCCAGTCAACTGAAAGGTTCTAATTAAAAAAATTACATCATCGTGTAGTTTTGCAAGTGTGATTAAAATATATGTATTACGCATATACACATACATCCACACCACTTCCTGTATGCAAATCTATTTTGAATTACAAAGTACGAATTTAAACCTTCACTGTTCATGGAAATTTGACAAAGGGTCTGTATATCACTGAGAAAATTACTGAAAGATATTTCATTTGTATCTGGAACCAATTTACAGAAGTTCTGTTCCTCATTTTGAAATAATTACTTCTGAAATGTAAATTCCTTAGATTTGATTTCATATTTTGCAAAAAAAAAAAAATTTTAGCATATGCTCTTTCTACAAAATACTAAAAAAATCCCCCATGAGACAGTGCTTTGCAATCTGACATGCCCCTTAATGGCGAGACAAATGCAACCTGAAATTGTGAGTAGGTCAGTTTGCCATGAATGCGTGATGTGATAAGATGCTGATTTTGACTGAAAATAAAGCTAAGATGCTGGTTTCCTCTTCAGGCTTGAAGTGTGGAATGGTAGTACAGCTAAGATAATCTAATATTAGTTGCTGTTGCTCCTTACGCTTTGCCAAGCCTGATGAGCTTGATGTTTGCCTTGAATTTACTGGCACTTATTTTACACTTGGATGATTCAGTTCAAGAAGCTAAGATGGGATGGGGATGACAAATCTATAATAAGGTGATGCTTTCATTCTTAATTTATTTGGGATCAGTTTCACTTGCTTGGTTGTAGTAAGCATTGGCTATGTTTGCATTAGCAAGCATGAGCAGATTCAAAAGGCACATGAATGCCTGCATGAGGTTTGACTTTGGATTAGCTGCAGTCTTTTTGTACAGATCAAACACAATTTAGTAGTTTTGAGCATGTTAGATGCTGTCCCTGAGCACATTTTCTGACATGATCAAGCTGACTGGAATACAGTTTGTGCACTCTGAAATAGTTTAGGGGTGTGAAGTGCAATAAATGGCAGTTTATTTAAAGAGGTTTACTTCAAAAGCTAATATAGATGCCCTTGTGCTTCTGCTTCCCCTGAAGGATACAATATTGTACTCCTCTCCGAGTCATAATATGCTTGATCTTAATGCTGTCAACAGAAATAATTACAGTGTTCTTGTATTTTGGTATGAGTCAGTTTTAAAGGATTTGCTCTGATGATCAATCCCTGCATTTCATCAGTAAATTCTCTGGCCCAGCAATTCATTTTTTAAAGAAAATTTTGTTTTCTTTCTCTCATAGCCAGTTAACTGTCACATAATTTTGATGTTGGCTCTTCATAAGTAATTATTCATTTTAATTACTTGAGTTCAGAAATATACCAGTGATAACGTAACCTTCATCTAGAATGTAGTCTTTTATCCAAGAATTATATACCTTTAGTGTAGCTAAAACAACCTAGGGTAACATTTACATGGCTTAGTAATTTTCCATTTAGCTCTCTATCTTTAACTTCTATGTTTTCAAAATTTGCTTGAGACTAGAATTCCACTTTGCTTTAATTCAGAAAGTTTCTGTGGAGGAGAGGGGAACAAATAGCTTCAGTAGGAAGAGCTTGGTTGCATCTACATTAACAGTTTAGATGAAGAGTGTGGTTTTGAAGTGAAACCCCCCTAGTCTTTGCTGCTTACCATCTTTGTTGCTGCTTGGAATGACAAGGGAAATCCCCTAGTCATTGATGCTTGCCTCGCAGTTTGTGCTTGGATTTGTGGTATTCTGCTCACATTTGTAGCATATGAACAGGATTCCTCTTAGGTGAAATGAAATTGAAAGAAATCTTTAAGATCATTTCATATATTCCAAATGCTAGTGAGTGTTCAAGTAACAGGAGCAAACTGGGAGTGTCCTTGAAAATGTTTATAATGTAGGTCCTCAATAGCCCTTCAACAGTCTGCAAATTGGCTGTTACGTGTTGCACTAAATAATGGAGGTGCAGTTTATAGGCACTATCTAAGCAGTAGTTCCACTATTTTTTGTTTATTACAATGTTATGCTACATGCAGACAACAGATTAACAGGCTACTAATACCTGTATAATTTTTTAACACAAGTACTGTTTGTATTATTCTCATTTCTGTCAGTGAAATAATAGTTAGTTTGAAAGTCCTGACTGTTTCTTGGTTAAAAAATTGGAAAAGTATAGATTGATTGCAATAAAATGCTTGTGTTATTTTACAGTTCTGTGCAGATCAAAAACAATGTTAGCAGTAGAAACCAGGAGACAGCAATGACATGAAATAACCTGTATATCTACAACTAATTAGCCAATTAGTTGTATGTGGAAGTAGGATTTCTATGCCTAGCTAATCTTTTCCTGCTCTGTCATTAAAGTTGTGAAATATCTCAGCTAGGGCGAGAGCATTCTCCTATTTATTAGTGAAGTATAAAGTATCAAAATTGTTGGCATTTAGTTGATGCCTATAAAAAGTAATTTGTAGTTTTAATAGTCTAAACTTATTAATATGTTTGTACATGTGCATAGGTGGTTTGATCATTGGTTTTAGAATTTCAGAACTGGAAACTTTGCAGGTATGTATGAAAATAATCTGAAGTAAAGCCTGTATAATGAATAGGCATCTTAGATAGACTCCTATATTATTCTGTGAGAACTGAAGAAGGTAGTACTGAAGTTCAGATCAGTCAGTATAATTCATGCAGCAAAACAGTCTTTTTCCTAACAGATTCTTGACAGAGTAACTTTTGTTTCCTTCAGAAATTTGAGAGAAGCAAGAGATAATGCTGTTGCTGAAAAAGAAAGAGCAGTTATTGCTGAAAAGGATGCTTTAAGAAAACATGATCAACTCTTAGAACAGTAAGTATCATTAAAAAATATAAAGGTGTAATGATATTTCTATCTCAGGAGCTTTATGAGGAATGACTGCTTTGACTTTCTGCGTATAAAAAAGAAATGGAATTACAAACATTTTGTTTAAATGAAATTACAGATTTAATTTTAGTAGTATATTTTTTTTCTTTTACCAGTACACTAACAATATGGAAGTTTGATTCTCCTACAATCCTGTAAAGACAAGCAGACAGTAATTATGTATCTCACAGCAGGAATGTGGATTTCATACTGTACGGTAGCAGTGGTCGAACTCTGAACCTGTTGGGTTTTTTCTTTAGTTGAAAATAGAAAATTATCTTAGATGAGGACTTCAATGAATAGTTTCTGTAGTGTGGTTAGAGAGCAGCAGTCATGAACACTTATACTTGCTACATGCTGCTTTTCTTACTGCTGTCTCTTCTCAGCCTTTCATATTCCATGTATCAAAGATACTGTCTATAGAAACATACAATTCTATTCATATGGAGAACGAAACTGATTTTTCTGCATGTTTACAAGCAGTCTTGCTATCCTGTTCTGCAGCATCTTTTTGTAAATTTAGAATATTAGTTAAGGTAAATTATGAGGTAATTTGAAGCTTTTGACAATAATAAAGCTGTTCAAGGTAAGTTTGTTGTGTGTCATTAATTTTGGACCCAATTTGTTGTTTAATTCTTTTTTCTAAGACGAAAAGATCAGTTCATTAACTGTGCTACCTCAATGAAACTACTAGATGTGAACTTTTTCTTACTTGGAATTGTTTTTAATTCCAAGAAGTAATCTATTAAAATGTTGGTAACTTAAGCATAGGCACAAATTAATTAAAGCTTTTCATTTTTATGTATAACTCCTGAATTTCAGTGGTGATATTACTGAAGAAACAGCATTGCCTAAGGACTCAAAAAAAAGTCATTATTTTTTGTGGTGTGAAGCAATAGGGGTAGTTCTAGAGCGAACAAGGTGCGTCAGAGACTTGATATCTACTCAGTTTCAGGGGTTTGACTTCAGATTAATCTAGTTTGGGCTGGATGGGGCCCAAGGGTACCGAATGCCTTTTAGTGGGTAGAGTACATTGTAGGTGTTCTTGGATTCTCAAAAAGGAATTCAGTTAGCAAACTCTGAGACGATAGCTCCCCAGTGCAAATCAAAATGTGGAAATCAAAGCTGGTTAACTGAGGACAACCAGGAAACTTAGTTCAAAACTGATTTCCTGAGTCAAAATAAAATGCTTATGTGAGCCAACCACATTTCTGATGAGACTGCCACGTTTTATTGTGATAAGACTGTGACGTGGGGAGTTCATCGCTAACAGGAAGCTCTGCTGGAAAATAGGTCTGGTGTATGATAATTTGAGTATGAAACTTGATTGTTTTTAATGGAAATATCAACTTTATAATTATTACCATATTTATTTTTAAACTTTAGAACCATGGAGAAAATACTTCTCTGTTCTGCTTTATTCCCCGTCATACAATGTGTCTTTTTCTTTTTTTTTTTCATATTGCTGCTGTTGTTTTTTCGACAAGTTTCCCTACAATGAGAAACATAAGATTTTCAAATGGATAAAAAGGGGGGAAAAGAAGAATGGTGGTAATAAACTATTTGTTGCCATCTTGTTTGACACACTCATGCTTCTATCCTCCAGTAGCTTTTTCTAGTAATAATCTCTCTAATTAAGTAAACTCTACCTTCCTTGATCTAAATAAATTAAAAAGTTGATTTATACTTCTTTTTTTTTTTTTTTTTTAACTTCAAAGTAGTAGGTCATTCATCAGAAGATTATGCTTTTTAGAGAAAAACACTTCTTCTTGGGAAAGTAGAAAACCCCATACTTCCTTTCTTTAAAATAAAGGCGTCTCCCTTTAAAACTCTTCTAACCACAGTGCGGGTTTTAAGACCATGATTTTTTCCACATTCCAATTCATCTACCTAAACGACCTGCAAAGTAACACACTGGCATGATGAGATAGAATAAATGCCTCAACTTAAAAGACCCCAAATTCTGAATTTACTGTGGGTTGACATGTGATAGTTCTGTAACAAAGACATTTTCTAATATCACCAGAAACTCCTGAGATAAAAAAGGAGTACCTGTGTTGTTCAATTCTGTATTTAAGTGATTCTAACAGCTTGTTCTATTTTAGTGAAAACAAGGTGACTCATCGTAGTTACCAGTGGTATCATAATCTGTATAAACAAACATGTTTTAAAGCTTCAGAAGTATGTGGAATGTTGACTGGCCTGAATGGTGGTTAAATAAAGCCCTTGGCAAATCTTGTAATCAGAAGTGTAACTAATACCCAATTTTCTAGTCAAGCACAGTTATTTTCATTTTTCTTACTGATGTTTGTGATAGCTTTTTTATAAACAGCTGTTTACATATGCCAAGAAAATACTTGAGTGATAATATCCATGAAAGAGATATATATTGAGAGAGAATCTGCTGTTTCAGCCTCTGAGTAGGCCACTATAATGTCAGGTTGTAAGTTTTGTTGCAGCTCTATATTCCATGTGAGAATCCATGTTTTGTTTGTCTGTGGCAATGAAAAAAAACTTAAATGACTTGGTATTTTGGATTAAACTGAGGTCAGTGTCACACATGTTCTGAAGAATGATGGCCAAGTAAAAACATTTTCACCTTGTTTTAAACTTCTGGTAATGAGACTAAGACTTTTTTATAATTTTAAATATATATTGTCTCAGTTGAAAGTGTCCAGGGGTTGAGTGTAAAGAGCAATTCTGTAAAAGCTCCATCAGCTACGCATAGTAAAGTGGAGATACTAAATATGTTCCAACTTTTCTTTCTCTTGAATATTCCTGGAGTGTTATTTTCAAACAATTGACTGTCAATCTGTTATTCACTTCTTGCAAAACAGCATCAAAAAGTAGAAAAATGCATCCTGGTTTCCTATCTTTTTGGTTTTTCCTGCTGGTAAACTTTTCTAGTTTCATATAATGTGCAACATCAAACTGAAATGTTTCCAATGTTCAAAGTGGACTCTAAGGTCTAATATGGGATGAGCTCATAGAAGAGCACTTCACTTCAGGGGATGCCTACAAGAGCCATCTCTTGTCTTTGATTGTTCACTTCCTTCAAACCTTAAGGAGTATAATTTCTTTTCCTAAGATCATATAGTTAGCTCTGTCAGTGGAAAGTGGTTGAAAAATTCCACAAGTACTCAGAACACAAAGGCTATCCATAGATGGTGTGATTTTACAAAATCTTCTTAGTAACAAAAAAAAACATAACAACCCAAACTGTACTCTGTTACAGTTGCTTGTTGCTCACGTAATATACTCAAGGTGATTTTTCCTGTCCTTATAATAGAATCATAGAATCATAGAATAGTTAGGGTTGGAAAGGACCTTAAGATCATCTACTTACAGCCCTCCTACCATGGGCAGGGACTCCTCACACTACACCATGTTACCCAAGGCTCTGTCCAGCCCGGCCTTGAACACCGCCAGGGATGGAGCATTCACAACTTCCCTGGGCAACCCATTCCAGTGCCTCACCACCCTCACAGGAAAGAATTTCTTCCTTATATCCAATCTAAACTTCCCCTGCTTAAGTTTTAACCCGTTACCCCTTGTCCTATCACTACAGTCCCTAATGAAGAGTCCCTCCCCAGCATCCTTGCAGGCCCTCCTTCAGATACTGGAAGGCTGCTATGAGGTCTCCACGCAGCCTTCTCTTCTCCAGGCTGAACAGCCCCAGCTTTCTCAGCCTATCTTCATACAGGAGGAGCTCCCGCCCGCTGATCCTCCTTGTTGCCCTTCTCTGGACTTGTTCCAACAGTTCCATGTACTTTTCATGTTGAGGACACCAGAACTGCACGCAATACTCTTAAGTGAGGTCTCAGAAGAGCAGAGTAGAGGGGCAGGATCACCCCCTTTGACCTGCTGGTCACCCTCCTTTTGGTGCAGCCCAGGATACGGTTGGCTTTCTGGGCTGTGAACACACACACTGAAGCCAGCTCATGTTCATTTTCTCATCAACCAACACCCCCAAGTCCTTCTCCACAGGGCTGCTCTGAATCTCTTCTCTGTAGCTGTGCCTGGGATTGCTCCGACCCAGGTGTAGGACCTTGCACTTGGCATGGTTAAACTTCATGAGGTTGGCATCAGCCCACCTCACAAGCGTGTCAAGGTCCCTCTGGATGGCATTCCTTCACTCCAGGGTATCAACCGAACCACACAGCTTGGTGTCATCAGCGAACTTGCTGAGGGCGCACTCAATCCCACTGTCCATGTCAGCGACGAAGATGTTGAACAAGGCCGGTCCCAACACCGATCCCTGGGGGACACCATTCATTACTGATCTCTAGCCAGACATTGAGCCATTGACCACAACTCTTTGTGTGCGGCCATCCAGCCAGTTCTTTATCCACTGAGTGTTCCACCTATCAAATTGATGTCTCTCCAATTTAGAGACAAGGATGTCGTGTGGGACAGTGTTGAACGCTTTGCACAAGTCTAGGTAGATGACATCAGCTGCTCTACCCCTGTCCATCAGTTCTGTAGCCCCATCATAGAAGGCCACCAAATTGGTCAGGCAGGATTTGCCCTTAGTGAAGCCATGCTGGCTGTCACCAAGCACCTTGTTGATTTTCATGTGCCTTAGCATGCCTTCCAGGAGAATCTGCTCAGAGATTTTGCCAGGCACAGAGGTGAGACTGACTGGCCTGTAGTTCCCCAGGTCATCCATTTTCCCCTTCTTGAACATGGGGGTTATATTTCCCTTTTTCCAGTCATCAGGAACTTCACCTGACTGCCATGATTTTTCAAATATGATGGCCAGTGGCTTAGCAACTTCATTTGCCAGCTCCTTTAGGACCCACAGGTGGATTTCATCAGGTCCCATGAACTTGTGCACATTCAGGTTCTTTATTTCTAATGATAAAATGGGAAGTGTAGAGAAACAAAGAGAAATAAAACAGGTATGCAGTAAGCAGATGAGTAGTATTCAAGAAAATTGTGTATGG